CACCCATGCTTCACATCCACCCAAGAGTGTTGGTACAACTATACTCTCATACATTCCCCTTTTTGCTTCCACGGACAAAGTTCTTTGTCTCCACAGACTCCTAAGTGCACCACTCACCCTTTTCCCCTCATCAATTCTGTGATTCACCTAATCCTTCATAGACCCATCTGCTGACATGCCCACTCCTAAATATCTGAATACATTCACCTCCTCCATACTCTCTCCCTCCAATCTGATATCCAGTCTTTCGTCACCTAATCTTTTTGTTATCCTCATAACCTTACTCTTTCCTGTATTCACTTTTAATTTTCTTCTTTTACATACCTTACCAAATTCATCCACCAACCTCTGCAACTTCTCTTCAGAATCTCCCAAAAGCACTGTGTCATCAGCAAAGAGCAACTCTGACAACTCCCACTTTGTGTTTGATTCTTTATTTTTTAACTCCACACCTCTTGCCAAAACCCTAGCATTCACTTCTCTTACAACCCCATCTATAAATATACTGAACAACTATGGTGACATCACACATCCTTGTCTAAGGCCTACTTTTACTGAAAAATAATCTCCCTCTCTCCTACATACTCTAACCTGAGCCTCACTATCCTCGTGAAAACTCTTCACTGCTTTTAGTAACCTACCCCATATACCATACACCTGCAACATCTGCCACATTGCCCCCCTATCCACCCTGTCATGTGCCTTTTCTAAATCCATAAATGCCACAAAAGCCTCTTTACCCTTATCTAAATACTGTTCGCCTATATGTTTCACTGTAAACACTTGGTCTACACACCCCGTACCTTTCCTGAAGCGTCCTTGTTCATCTGCTATCCTACTCTCTGTCTTACCCTTAATTCTTTTCAATAATAACTCAACCATACACTTTACCAGGTATACTCAACAGACTTATTCCCCTATAATCTTTGCACTCTCTTTGCTTTTATACAAAGGAACTATGCATGCTCTCTGCCAATCCCTAGGTACCTTACCCTCTTCCATACATTTATTAAATAATAGCACCAACCACTCCAACACCTTTTAACATTTCTTTTTATCCATCAATCCCAGCTGCCTTTCCCCCCCTTTTTTTTACCCCCCTGCCTCCCCAAAATTCCCCCACACTCACAAATGGTCTTCCTCACTCCTACAAGATGATCCTCCTTGCCGTATACACGAAATCACAGCTTCCCTATCTTCATAACATTTAACAAATTTCCCCAAATTTCCTCCCTCTTCTGTACCCCTAACTTTTCATTTTAAAAACTTCTTCCCATTTTTAACTGCAAATCCATTTGTTCCCTAGGGTTCCTCAACTTCTAATTTCACTCCAAAACCTTTTCTTATTTTCAACAAAATACGTATGGGTTTTAATATTGCAGTGAGGTGGGGTGGAGGGAGTGGGATGTGTGTCTGGGGCAAAGCATGGTGTGAATAATGTACGAGAATTCGTTAGTTTGAAGTTAAGGGGTGGGGGTTTCTAAAAAATTATTAAAATTTCTGGGAGGGTTATTAGTGTTTGGACATTAGAAAAGGTGGAGCAAAATTGATGCTTGGAGGGTGTAGAGAATGGTTCAGAGAACCGAAAGTTGTAAATTTTGACATTGTTCAACATTGGGTATCTTTACTGGGAAATGTTTCGCCAACGTGGCTTTTTCCGTCCATAAAAAGAGAGCCCTTTAAAAAACAGGAAAGTTTGAGGTAAACAGTCCCTAACCTTGGTCGATGCGGTAGTCCCTCCTGTTCTTCAAAACTCTTCCTTTTTATGGACTGATGAGCCCCTGTGTGGGGAGACGTTTCCTCATAAAGATACCAAGTGTTGCACATGTCTAATTTATCAACTTGTCAGTACTCTGAACCATTCATCTACATTCCTGTCTGACACAGCAACATCTTGGGATCTTAACCCTTTGAGGGTCGACAGGCCCTCTCCGAGACTTGTTCTCAGGGTCGGCCAAATTAAAAAAAAAAAAATTTTTTTTTCTTATGAAAAGATAGAGAATCTTTTCCCGATCATAATGACACCAAAAGTATGAAATTTGATGGAAAACTTACGGAATTATGCTCTCGCGAAGTTAGCGGTCTCGACGATGTTTACGCATCGGCGATTTTGCCCACTTTGAGCCCTATTTTCGGCCAATTCCAGTGTACTAGTCGACAAAAATCATAACTATTTCTCTAGAACTCCATTTTTTCTATTGAATGAGCACAAGAAACCACCCATTTACTGATTTCAACTATCCAATACAGTGGTCAGAATTTAGCAATTTTGCCAATTTCACAAATTTCAAAAGATGCCAATTTCCAAATAGGGCCCAGAATAAACAAGACATACATTTCTGGCACTAAAATAACATTTCCTCTGTTCGTTAGTCACATCCCTAGGCCCCTCTTATATTTCTTTGGCTTTCCACTTTCAATTTTTATTCTTACAAAAAATAAAAGATTTACTGTTATGCAGACTACTGCATTAGTGTAGAAATGGTATAAATAATATCAGTGCACTTGTGAAAGAATATTAGACTCACCAGTTGACGTGTATTGGACGCTTGGCATGATTTGTTTACTTTTGAACTTTGGTAAAAATCAAACATTTCTGCTACTTTGAGCTAAATTTCAAGGTACTTTTCACTGTAAAACCAGTCAAAATCATCTCAATTTCTGTAATATGTCTTCCATTCTATAAAATGAGACCAAGGAAACTAGAATACAACAATAAATACCATATGAAAATACAGTGCAAAGTCGCTGTTTTATTCCAAAAACACGGTCAAAGTTTTTTTTTTCTCATTATGCACTGTGTGCTGCAGGATTTCTTTTATACTGCGCACACTGCCCACATAGACCCATTCTTTCATATGTATGCCTACCAGCTTTCTCCCACTAGATTTGAGGGCGCTAGAATTTAGGTGTACTATAACGTCAAAAACCCTGGGTCGTAAGCCGTACTAGTACGGCCGAAACCCTCGAAGGGTTAATACAGGAAATTCTTCACTTGCCTAACCCTTGGGAATGACCTACTTCCACATTGGACAAATGTGATACCACCTACGACTGCTGCACCTCTCCTGCCTATGGTATATAAGCTACTTCTTCACACACATGCTGTATTCTTTTCAAGATTGATGGACTGACCACATCGACTCAAGGCTGAGGAACTGATTACCTCAAACTACTCCTGTTCTTCAATGCTCTCCTTTGTATGGACTGATGAAGCCACTGCGTGGAGAAACGTTTCCTCAATAAAGATACCCAACTGTTGCACGTGTCTGATTTATTGACTTGGAGGGTGTACATTATTATTATTGTAATCATAACTAAGCGTTAAACCCACAAGGATAATACAGCGCTGGAAGGGTATACAAATCTGTAGGAGGGAAAGTGGGGGTAGGGGTCATCCTAGGAAAAGTTGGAAGGAGGCGGTAAAAGAGGTTTTGCATGAGGGGCTTAACATCCAACAGGTGTATGTGTGTGAATAAGTGAAGGCATGTCATTTTAATGACTTAACATACTGCTGGAGAATGAGCAAGGTAATATTTATGAAGGGATTCAGGGAAACTGGTTAACTGGACTTAAGTCCTGGAGGTGGGAAGTACAGTACCTGCATTCTGAAGGAGTGGTGGGGATATTGCAATTTGGAAGGGCATCTAAGCTGTAATGTTGGTGCGCCTCTGGCAAGACAGTTATGAAATGAGTAATTGTGAAAATGTTTCTTCTTTTTTGGGTCACCCTGCCTGATACAACACATTTACATCACAGTTTTCAGGCTTTCAGTGTCCAGTAGTAGTCTGATATTGAACTCACCAATAGGTTTTCCTGATATCTCTTCCTGGTGAAATCATTCACTGTGGGGGTTCTATTTCAAAGAAACAGTACGTGTTGGAGCAAAACTAAGTTTAGATTTGTATTCAGTGTCCCAGATTTAGTTAGAAACACATGCTTTTAAATACAAATTGAAACCTTTGTTGGCCAGTGTTATCAGCTGGTAGAAATAAAATTACAATATAGTATATGTAGAACAAAAATTAATAACCAGCGATAGAAGAAAATTTTAATGAAAGCATAAATCATGCACCAGAAGAAGACTAAGAAATGCTCCAGGCAAAATATCACAATTCTTTTTTTAAATGTCATGGGTGATGTCAAAAAGAATCACGAAATAAAAATAATTTTTAATGTCTCAATCCCTTGGATAAGCATCAGTTGGTTGGCTAAACTGCCTTATCAAAACACTGGAAACCAACTTCCTTTGCTGCATAATTTAGGTACTACTGTATATCTGAATGGATATTTATTAACTTTTAGTTATGAATAATAATTTTCTGTTACTTTAACATATGACATAATGCTCGTTAAATTTCAATGAATAAAAATATAAATAAATCCCCACTGGTTGCCAACATGGCAGTGTGTATGCCTTTATTGCTTTAATAAATGGACAATTTCGCAGCATTTTAGGTAGTATTTTTTTTTGTAATACATCTTAAGGTGGTTTCGATGGCATTATTTTGTAAAAGATAAATGGAGATGGTGTAAACCTGAAGGTAATAGTGACTTCGTTACAGTAAGTACAATTGCAAAAAATACCCTTCATTGCTTCCCAAATAATCCACACTTCTAAGAGATCCCTTCAGTGTTCAATTATGCAACAAAAAATGTTAAAATGCTTTCAAGATTGAGAGATTATAAGTAACCATAACTAACATGCATTCTTTCCTTAGGGAATACATTGCAACAGTAAAGTCATTTATTTGTATTAGAACATACCTCAAATTTCTGTAAAAAATTATCACTACAGTACTTTATTCAGGAACTGTTTTTCTTGTTAAAAGTAATAGAATTGGTATGCTCATTTAAAAACAGGTGGTCATGTTTTGCCACAGAATATGTCCCACCTTTGTGATTCTTGGTGACATAACACAAGCAAGAGCTACCCTTTCCAAATATGCTAATTTCTGGTTCTAGTGCAAGAGATTGAAAAACAGAATGCAGAATGTTACCTGAGAGATCTGGGATGCTGTCATGGAGCAGTACAATGGGTTCATCTCTACAAATGATCCCCAATTATCAGGTAAGTGACGGGCTTGCGGATGGTTGCCAGGACCTTCGTGTTGACCATGACACTCCAAACACACAGGACAAGGAACCAGACGCGTCACTAGGAACTTTCCTTCACTTGTATGAACAAAACGTGTGCCAAGAGTTGGATACCTAGATTTAGGAAAATACATTTTAAAGAACATTTATAACTTAAAAGAATAGTATTATAATACTATGCAGTACATTTTTTATCACACTGGCCATTTTCTATGAAGCCAGGATGATCCAGAAAAGGAAACATCGACCATCATTCCCTCAACATCATAGATATCATGACAGAAATAACTGAGCTGTAACATACCAATCCATTTTTCAAAAGACAGGCACTGCATGTCCCATCTCCAGGACTCAAGTCTAGGTAAAAAGTTTCCTTAAATCCCTTCATAAATGCTGCATTGCTCATCTTTCAACAGCACATCAAATCCCAAAAAGCAACTTATCTTTAATCTTCCCAATATAACATATTTACATATACCTGCTGGATGCTCAAGCCCCCACCTCTTTAAAAACCCTCAACAGTATTTTATTAGCTGATCAATTCCTTACTGTTAAAATTAATGCACAATATCAAGTTACTTTAAAGAAGGGATTTGGGATATTGGTTTGTCTGGAATAACATCTTAACTGTCATATCTAGGCACCTCTGCAAAGACAGTGATTATGTGTGAATAATGGCAAAAGTGTTCTTTCTTGTTTTGGGTCACCCTGCCTCGGTGGGAGATACCCAACACGTTAAAAAAAAAATCACGTTACTGTTAACCCTTTGAGGGTCCGTCCCGTAGTTCTAAGGCTTTGAAGCTGGGGTCCAAGCTGTAGAACTATGGCTTGAACTCGGGTCACTCAATGTACCATGTGGTACCCTATACCATATGCAATTCCAAGGGGACTGAGTACATCCCGTGGCCCTACACCTAGAATAGACAGTGAAAGTGACAATGATGTAGCTACAATTGGGATGAACAGACCACATGTGTCAGTACGGGGTGGTGGTGCCACCAGCATGCGTGCGTGCAGCATGCGACACCAGCCCAGACTGGGAGTACCCTGTACCATAAGGTACAGGGTACAGGGACCCTAATGGAAATAAGTCACTGACTTTTTTGGTTATCCTAGGATCTTTACACATATGCTATGTATGATAATATATGTAACTGTATTTGTGTATATCTGAATAAACTTACTCAAGTGTATGTGGCATCGTTAGTAAGTTTATTCAGGTATACACAAATACAGTTACATGGATTATCATACATAGCAGCATATGCATGGAGAACCTAGGGTCCCTGTACCAAATGGTACCATTGTACTATGTGGTAACATTGTATCATATGGTGTGTGATGAATGGTGTCTCAATTCTTCCACCATATGGTACCATTGTACCATCTAGTACCATTTTACAGTATGGTACCACTGTACTATATGGTACCATTATACCATAAGGTACAATGTACCATATGTTTCAAAACCATAGAGTTCCTCTTCAGATCCATTTCCATCAGTGTTAGAACTATATAACTTGGGAAGAGGAGAGTCAGAATTCGCTGGGGAGTGAGAGCTTCCTTGCCAACAGGCATGATGAACAAAGCGTACTGAGACAGAGTTCCCACAGTGCAATGTGGGTGCCCCGATTTTTTGTTTACTGTGCATACCAACCATGCAGACCCATTCTCTTAGATGTAGGCCTACCAGCCTTCTCGCTCTAAATTTGAAGCCACTAGAATTTTGGCATAGATCTACGGCTTGGACCCTGGCTTCAAAGCCATAGATCTATGGGATGGACCCTGAAAGGGTTAATACTGACAAGAACAACATACAGAAACTCTTGATTATTTTAATCAGTGGAAAATGCTAAAGCCATAGAGGTCATATTTCACCTGGGGAATGGGAAGCATTTGGGTTCGGTTCAAGGAAGAAAGGTTAAGTCAAGTTCGTTGGCTCAAGAGCCCCTCACTGACATCAAGGCACCTCCTCTGAGGAAGTCATTATGTATAGCCATAAGATATACAGTGGAACCTTGACCTGTGAGTTTAATCTGCTCCAGTTTACTCGTATATCAAATTAATTTTCCTTAATTTTCCATTAAGTTGTTCCAGCACTCCGGAGAGATGAGAAAAAATACTTGAATATGACACTATTATCAACTGTAAGGCTTATTTATCTATCACAATTTATCTAATATGACATAATAAACAATATAATTAGCACAGAAACATGATATATACTCTAGAATAAAATAGGCCATAATATGGTGGCAGAGGCAGTGGCAGCGGCAGAAGCGTCCGCCATTTCTGTTCCAATTTGACTATAGTATCTTCCCACATTCTTACTGTAAGAGAAAACAGAGTATTTCTGAGGCTAACTGCAGTAAATCACTAGGATCCATGGTTAGAAAAAAGAAATTTGGCCAAATGACTGCAAAAAATGCAAACAAGCATGAGAAAACTGCCCCCCCCCCACAGGGATGTAAACATGTTTACTGCTTACCAGCTGTGCCAACTAACAGAAGCAATCTGAATTATTATTACATATGTATTATGCATTATTATTATTATTATTATTATTATTATTATTAATTTAGGGAACTGAAGCTCTATCATTATAATAATAATTATTATTAATTTAGGGAACTGAAGCTCTATCATTATAATATTATTAGTAGTAGTAGTATTATATTATTATTATTATTGTTGTTGTTATTAATTTAGGGAACTGAAGCTCTATTATTATTATTATTAATTTTGGGAACTGAAGCTCTATCATTATAATAATAATAATAATAATAATAATAATAATAATAATATATTATTAGTAGTAGTATTATATGATTATTATTATTATTGTTGTTATTATTAATTTAGGGAATTGAAGCTCTATTATTATGATAATACAGTAGACTGCCATTGAAGAATTGCTGCTGAATTTTATGTAACACGTCGTATAATTAATCTAATATGGTTCAATTTGTGGGAAGAAAAAAAAAATTCTCTTTTGCTCAAGTGGCCGCCTTGTTGTGGAGCAGCCGGGAAGCCCTCCCTTACCAACCCCCGACACCAATTCACCATCCCAGCATTTGTAATTCATACGTGTCCAGTCTTTCTCTCCTACAAGGCAGCTGTGTTTGTCAACTGTGTTATGATATTTTAATTACTATATCTTGTAACTGCCAAGCAATCATGACACTCAGTAGCCATACTAGTGTTGCTGAAAGTGGCACAAAGAGGTATAAGCACTTAAGTCTTAGAATTAACAAAGATATTAGACAAGAGATAACCTGTAGCCGTAACTGAAGTGCTACTTTGTACACAGAAAAAGAGGTTAACACGAGTTTGTGTGACTGACTGACTGAATGACTTACTGACTGAATGACTGACTTACTGAGTGACTGACTGAACTGATTGACTTACTGAGTGACTTGACTGACTTACTAAATGACTTGACTGACTTACTAAATGACTTGACTGACTGAATGACTTGACTGACTTACTGAATGACTTGACTGATTTACTGAGTGACCTGACTGACTTATTGAGTGACCTGACTGACTTACTGAGTGACTTGACTGACTTACTGAATGACTTGACTGACTTACTAAATGACTTGACTGACTTACTGAATGACTTGACTGACTGACTGACTTGACTGTAATAATACATGTAATAATATATTATTATTATTATTGCTGAGAAGAAAAAGAGAATGATTTCCACGGAATTAAAGCACGAAATCATAGATAAACAAGCGAGGTGTTCAGGTTTTGGGTTGAGGGGGAAGAGGGAGGGGGGAGCTGGCTCGCAACTCAAATGTTGGCTTGTAACTCGGAGCAAACAATCGACCCAGGGACGGCTCGTATCTCAAAAAAGTCATAAGTTGGGACACTTGTAAGTCAAGGTTCCACTGTATACAGCACCAGTTGCTCACATACTTATGATTTAATAATGGTTTATACAGTAGACCGTCATTTAACATAGCAGTTATGTTCCTGAAAATGCCGTGCTAGGTAAAATCGTGTGGGATGAACTAAAGAACTTAAGGGAAAAATAGGGTTACGTTCCTGGGAGCCCCCAAAAAGCCAAACAACTTTTTTTTTGACCAACAGATCTTACAAAAATAAAAGTGAATATGTAATTGTGGTTCATTGTCGTGATATACTACTGCTTAAGACTACAAATGCAATAGAAATAATAGTATTTCTTACCTTAAATTGTGGGTAATGGTGTTTGTGGATGATTGTGAAGAGTGGATATGCATGGTTTGGCTCTACTGGGCTGAGGTGGATGGTCATTGGTTGTCGCCAGAAGTGGACGGTTGAGGTTCTGGTACTGAAGTCGATGGTTGTATTGGAGTGTGCACAAATTCTGTAATGGATCTCTGGGCTCTTTTACCCTACAGTACATTCTACAGCTGACGGTAAGGCATCATCAGCTGGTCTAGACTCCGTTTCAAAGCACTGCTTCTAGATTTGTCAGGGTCCTCTTCAGTTAAAAAGTCTGCAACTTTACCAATAATATGGAACTGATCACATAACTGCTGCAATGTTAACTGTTTTTCTTCAGGTTGTTCTTCATCTTCTTCTGTTATCTCCCTCCTTTGTACCTGTGCATCGAGCTCTGCCAACATTTCCTCTGGACTCCTGTCTTCATCATCATTATCTTCTAAGAGCTCATTCACATCTACAGGACCATCACCTGGTAATCTCCTTGCCAGCTGAACAATTTCTTGAACCTGACTCTCAAGCAAGGAAAAACCAGTGAAAGAATTTACTACAGAAGGCCAAAACTTTCCCCAGCCTGCATTTAATATTCATTGGGCACTTCATTCCATGCACTTCTAGCATAGCTGATAGCATCTGCAATGTTAAATTTATTCCAGAAGCTTGGTACTGCCAAGTTGGAATCAGAGTCCATCATTGCAACTAGTTTTTTCATAACTTTTTTTGTGTAGTTACACTTGAATGACTTAACTCCTGATCCAGTGGTTGAATTAGAGATGTTGTATTTGGAGGTAAAAATACAGCTTTTACATGTGGGGTCACATCCAGCAAAGCTTGTGGATGAGTATGGGAATTATCAAGAATGAAGAGAGCCTTGAATGCAATGCTCTTGCTGTACAGGTAAAACTTGGCTTCAGGAATAAAGTGATGCTCAAACCAGTCAATAAATATTTCCCGTCATCCATGCTGACTGGTTTGACCTCAAAATTACTGGTAAGGTGTTTTTATCTACGCCTTTCAAAGCACGAGGATTCTTAGAGCAGTAAATAATCATGGGCTTACACTTGAAATCACCTGATGATTTACCACAAAGGAGCAAGATGAAGCGATCCTTTGCTGCCTTGAAGTATGGTGCACTTTTCTCTTGCTGACTGATATAAGTTCGTGTTGGCATTTTCTTTCAAAAAACACTTGTCTCATCAGCATTAAACACTTGATGTGGCTCATAGCCACCCTCAGAAATAATTTCCTACAATTCAGCAGGAAAATTACTTGCAGCTGTATGATCAGCTGAAGCACTTTCACCAGAAAACTTAATACAGTGGACCCTTGAGTTTCAGCAGCATTGACTTTTGTGAAATCCGACTTTCGGCAAGTTTTTTCAGAAAAATTTGGCCTCAAGTTTCGTGATTAGAATCGTGATTCGGCGACCGTCTGGTACCCGTCCGCCCGTCACCGCGCACACAAAACCAGTCTCCCACGCCACTCATGCTCAGTGTGCCATTGTTTACCAACACGTGACCATCACCCCGCGGGTTCATACGTAATAATCCATTGTTTCTTGTGTTGCAACTGCTAAATAAGTCACCATGGGCCCAAGGAAAGCTAGTGCAAGCCCTTTGGTAAAGAAAGCAAAGAACATGATCCAGAGGGATTTTGATGGGTTTGAGGCAGACCCTGACCCTGCTGACCCTCTGCCTGTTGTGGAAGGTGTTGTGGCATTAGGCAAGTCCATGGGGTTGGAGGTGAGTGACGGGGATGTGGAAGAGTTGGTGGAGGACCACAGGGAAGAGCTAACCACTGACGAACTGCAAGAGCTTCAACTGGAACAGCATCAGACCACAGCTGAGGAACTTGCTTCAGAGGAGGAGGAAAAGAGATTGAAAGAGGTGCCTTCTTCAGTGATTAAAGACATGTATTCAAAGTGGAATTTGTTGCAAAGTTTTGTTGAAAAGTATCACCCTGACCAAGCTGAAACAAGCCATATCTGCAACATGTTTAGTGACAAAACCTTGTCCCACTTCAGGCAAATCATAAAGAAATGCCAGAAACAGACCTCTCTGGACAGATATTTTGTGCGACAGGGGTCCAGTGACTCTCAAGTTGTTCCCAGTGGCATTAAAAGAAGAAGGGAAATAACCCCAGAAAAGGACTTGCTACCTGAAGTCCTAATGGAAGGAGATTCTCCTCCCGTCTTCCATCCACTCAGAAGTCTTCAGTAAAGGTAAGTGTAATGTTATTATTATTTTTTATATGCATGTACTTGATTTCTGTTTGTTTTCAGTATGTAAATCTTTATTTAATTTGAAAAAAAATATTTTATTTTAATATTTTTGGGTGTCTGGAACGGATTAATTTTATTTCCATTATTTCTTATTGGGAAAATGGTTACGAGTTTCATGAATTTCAACTTTTGGCAGGCTCTATGGAACATATTAATCACGAAACTCAGGGGTCTACTGTATTATATAACTTATTATGCAAATTAAAGTTTTGGAACTAACCTGTGCTAAACATACACTCGTTTTCAGGCCTTCCTTCCTTACCACACACTGCTTTAAACAACGGTAAGGCCTTTTCCCCAATTAGGTTGAAATTAAGTGGTGCACCTTTCTTTGTCTTTTGTTCAATCCACTCAAGCAACAAGTTTTCTGTTTTATTTACTTGTTGTAAGTTACGTGTCATTCTTTTCATGAGATGACATCCTGGGTTATTCATTACACAAGCTTGTATATTCACCTCGTTCTTCCTAACTGTACAAACTGACACTTCATTAAGGCCATAGGCCCTCACTATGTCTACCACAAGTGAGCCACTCTTAACCTTATCTAATATCTCTATTTTCTTCGTAATTCCTAGACTTACATGCTTCAACCTTTTCTTGCTACTTTCAGCAACACTCGTATGCCTACTAGGTGCCATGATTGCTTGGCAGATTTAACCCTTTGACTGTTTTGGTCGTATATATACGTCTTACGAGCCAGTGTTTCAGACGTATATACACTCAATAATTCTAGCGGCTTCAAATCAATCGGAAGAAAGCTGGTAGGCCCACATGTGAGAGAATGGGTTTGTGTGGTCAGTGTGCACCACATAAAAAAATCCTGCAGCACACAGTGCATAATGAGAAAAAAAAACTGATCGTTTTTTTTGGATTAAAACGCCGACTTTGAGGTGTATTTTTGTATAGTATTTATCGATGTATTTGCGTTTTCATGGTCTTAGGTTATAAAATGGAAAACACATTACAGAAATAGAGATGATTTTCATTACTTTGATGATGAAAACGACCTTGAAACTGAGCTCAAAGTAGCGGAAATGTTCGATTTTTACCAATGTTCAGGAGTAAACAAATCACACCACACGTCCAATACACGTCAACTGGGGAGTCTAATATTCTTTCACTAGCGCACTGATATTATTTATACCATTTTTACAATAATGCAGTAGTCTGCATAACAGTAAATTTTGTATTTTTTTGTATGAATAAAAAATCAAAATAGAAAGCAATAATAATATAAGAGGGGCCTAGAGATGTGACTAATGAACAGAGGATATGTTATTTTAGTACCAAGAATGTCTACCGTGTTTATTCTGGACCCTAATTTGAAATTGGCATCTTTTTTAGTTTGCGTGAAATTGGCCAAATTGCCAATTTCTGACCACAATATAGGGTAGTCCAAATTGGTAAATGGGAGGTTTCTTGTACTCAGCTGATAGATAAAATGGAGTTCTAAAGAAATAGCTATGAGTTTGGTCAAATGGAACAATGGAATTGGCTGAAAATAGGGCTCAAAGTCGGCGAAATCGCCAATACGCATATGTCGCCGAGACCGCTAACTTCGCAGGAGCGTAATTCCACGAGTTTTCGACAAAATTTCGAACTTTTGGTGTCATTACCATCGGGAAAAGATTCTCTATCATTTCATAAGACAAAATTTTTTTTTTTTTTTTTTTCAAAAATTTAGCAACATAGAATGACAGTTTCAGAAAGGGGTCTGAAACAGTCAAAGGGTTAAGATATGGCAATTATAATAAGTACCTAAATAAACACAGCGAGCTCCCAGAAGATCGTCCTACACACACATGAACTGAACTGAAGGCTGGGAGAATGGTGAGGGTGGGTGTGGGCGGCTCAGGGTGGTGGGGTTGACGGTAGGCCTCCCCCATTGACTCAATGGTGTAACCCACAGCCAATCCCGCAGGCGACTGCAGGCTCAAAATTTTTTCCCCTCCCGCAAACTGAACCGTGTTAAATTAATTTTATGATGTGCTAAATAATACTGTGCTGCAATTCTTCACTCGTGCTATACCCGAATCGTGCCAAATAAACTCTTGCTAAATGACGGTCTACTGTAATTTATTTAAGTGAGATATACACACAACAGCATTTTCAGTACTTAATAGTTAAGTATACACGACACAATATGCTGTATTTTTGTACTAAAACAGTACAAAGTAAGTCTCATACTGTAGCTGTGTAGGTCTCTATCCATAGCTTCATCCTTAATGTATCTTTAATTATGATTTTTTATTAAATTACTGAATACCTGCATATTTCATCCCAAGTCAAAGACCCTCTTCAAAAGATTCAGATCAGCAGCAGATCTGCAGAAGAGGGTCTCAAACCGAGGCTGAAACACATGAATATCTTTTTACCTGTTTATCATATTTGATCCAAGTGATAAAAACTTACCAGTCTTCCAACAAGGTATCAATGTGGTCGACAGCAAGGGAGAGGAGTTTGGCAACACATTCAGGGGCTGGGTCGAGAACAACAGACTGTATACCAGAGGCCAAGATATCTACTACTGAGTTTGCAACATCATTTTCTTGTAAAGGACGCTTGATAACAACGGCTTCATTTGGAAGGCATATTTCTAACACAGCTGAGTTATTGACCTGCAATTATATAAAGAATTTTTGACATAACTTACAAGGCAGAATTTATACAAACTTCCTCATTTACTGTAAACAATCCATTCTGGCAATAACACTGCTAGAAATAAATCAGTAGCATTAATTTTTTTTTTTGACATTCAGTAATACGTACACATTTCCATAAGAAAATACTACAGTGGTACTTCGGTATACATCTGCTTTGGAATAAGTCCAACTTGGTATACGTCCTGCTTGGACGTGAAAATTTTTGCTTGGTATACAACCTTTGTTTGGAATATGACTCGCATGCTAGAACTTGTATGGGTCAAAATGAGTCACGACACTGCATGCTACACCACTACACTGTAGCCCAGAGCCATATTATTACCATCAACATACCCTGTTCACTAAATTTAATCATTTCTAACAACTACCTTTAGATGCTATCATAAACGAAAGGAGAAGAAATGAATAATTCATGCCGAGAATTGTAAACAAAACCGGAGTGTCTAGACCAAACGCAGATTCATACACGTTTTCTTTGGTGCTGGACCAGAGAAATGTAATGTTTTCCCTCTGCCTGGCAGATAAACATAGCAAGTTTTTATGCTATGTAACATGTTTCTTATATAATTTTGAAGAAAATATCATAGATGGATTAATGAAAATGTTTATATTAATGTAAAATAAGACACTTAATGTGCCCAAGAGTGATTATTATTAGTATTATGTAATGTTTTCCCTTTGCCAGGCAACCGTATCTCCATAGCATATAAACACAGCATGTTTATATGCTATGTAATGTGTTTCTTGCATAATTTTAAAGAAAATATCATAGATGGATTAATGAAAATGTCTATAGTGACGTAAAATGAGACATTTATTATTATTATTTTTTTTTTATATATATAAAGCAGCGAGGGGCCGTTGAGGGAGGAGTGACCTCTAAAAATGTAATGAGTAAATATACAAAAACGAAAATAGTTTAATAAATATAGTCAACAACTTTGAGGCATTAGCACATTGATCACAGTAGAATGACATGGAAGCATATAAATCTTAGGGGAAGGAGGGCGGGGTAGGGTTCGCCTCGAGGTGAGAGAGGGGTAAAGGAGGTTTTGTGGGTAGGGGCTTGGACTTCCAGCAAGCGTGCGTGAGCGTGTTAGATAGGAGTGAATGGAGACAAATGGTATTGGGACCTGACGATCTGTGGAGTGTGAGCAGGGTAATATTTAGTGAAGGGATTCAGGGAAACCGGTTATTTTCATATAGTCGGACTTGAGTCCTGGAAATGGGAAGTACAATGCCTGCACTTTAAAGGAGGGGTTTGGGATATTGGCAGTTTGGAGGGGATATGTTGTGTATCTTTATAGTATATGCTTCTAACTGTTGTATTCTGGCACCTCTGCAAAGAGAACAGTTGAAATGTAAAATGAGACATTTATTAATATATAATAATAAAATAATAAAATAAAATAATATAATATAATAGCAGCGAGGAGCGTTTGGAAGCAGTGAAGATGACCTGTCTAAGGGCAATGTATGATGTAAATATTATGCAGAAAATTCGGAGTGTGGAAATTAGGAGAGGGTGTGGAGTTAATAAAAGTATTAGTCAGAGGGCTGAAGAGGGGTTGTTGAGGTGGTTTGGTCATTTAGAGAGAATGGATCAAAGTAGAATGACAGAGAGAGTGTATAAATCTGTAGGGGGAGGAGGGCGGGGTAGAGGTTGGAGGGAGGGGGTAAAGGAGGTTTTGTGGGCGAGGGGCTTGGACTTCCAGCAAGCGTGCGTGAGCATGTTAGATTGGAGTGAATGGAGACAAATGGTATTTGGGACCTGACGATCTGCTGGAGTGTGAGCAGGGTAATATTTAGTGAAAGGATTCAGGGAAACCGGTTATTTTCATATAGTCGGACTTGAGTCCTGGAAATGGGAAGTACAATGCCTGCACTTTAAAGGAGGGGTTTAGGATATTGGCAGTTTGGAGGGGTATGTTGTGTATCTTTACACGTATATGCTTCTAAACTGTTGTATTCTGGGCACCTCTGCAAAAGCAGTGATAATGTGTGAGTGTGGTGAAAGTGTTGAATGATGATGAAAGTATTTTCTTTTTGGGGATTTTCTTTCTTTTTTTGGGTCACCCTGCCTCGGTGGGAGATGGCCGACTTGTTGAAAAAAAAAAAAAAAAAAAAATTTCTGTGTGTAATAAAACCAAAAAAATAAAATTTTAGGACCAGTACTTACTGAGATATAAGACTGCGAAGTTGGTTCTGGATGCTCACCTGACGGCAACATTGAGCCCTGCCGCTTGCAGAAGTGTTGCCAATATACCTTTTTTCTTGTTTTTATATTATTTAATATAATTTTTATGTACTGATAATTACAATTTATAGTAGTTCTTGTGATTTCATAGCCAATCTTTGTTCTGACACTAATATTAGGTGCTGAAAATGCACTCAAATAGTCATAAACACACTAACAGGTGAACATTTTCACCTGCCTTGGTCATTTACTATTATCTAGAAATATTTGTTTAAAAGTGGACTCTGGGAGCAGTATTAATTTCGGAGTCTGGACAGTGAAATCACTTATAAAGATGCCTCTCTGAACGGTGGGACTACTTATATCCATCAAAATTAGGGGTGTGACAAAGTATTGGTATCTATGCTATTAGCTATTTTGATGATAATAGTATTAGTATTGGCCTAAAATTAAGTACAGTAGGACCCCTTATATCTGCAGGGGATACGTTCCAAAGACCTACCACGGATAGTAATGAACCCTATATACAAGTTCTATACATACCTATTATATAGTTTAAGTGATAAATTATGCACAATAAATGGAGAATTATCACTTTTTCACTGACAGGGAGTACTTCACTGCTTCTCTTAGGCTTTGAAGAACTTCCATCATCACTACTTTTGCACTCTGAGGTCACTATTAAGCAAAATTAAGGGTTATTTTTGGGTCGCGATTGACCACAGATAACTGAAACCACGGATACCAGACCTGCGGGAACTACATTATAAGTATTTTTAACAGTGTACAGTGGAACCTCGGTTTTCGTCATTAATTCGTTCCAGAAAGTCTGATGAAAACCAAATTCAACGAAAACTGAAGCAACATTTCCCATAAGAAATAATGTAATCCAATTAATCCGTTCCTGACACCCAAAAGTATTAATAAAAAATACATTTTATAGAGAATAACTATAGTTTTACATACAGAAAACAATGAGAAATAAATATAAAGGACTAATGAAATGGATAAATGAACATTTAACATCGCTTTTACTTTTACTAAAGACTTGTTCGCATATGGAAGACAGTGAGAAGGGGAGAGGGAGGAGGGGTTATTTATGCCACCATCACTACCACCCTCTACCATCACTACCACCCTCTACCATCACTACCACCCTCTACCATCACTACCACCCTCTACCACCATCACTACCACCATCATTACCACCCTCTACCACCATCAGTACCACCTTCTAACAATGAGAAAGCCAGACTGACTCAGAATGCATGGGATACTTTTTGTGGGCGTGGGTGGACACATTCAGTACGGTGGACCACTGTCAACTCGACGAACACCGAGGTGATAAACGAAAACTGGGACAAAATTTTGACCCAAAAAAAAAAGTCGTCGAAAACCAGGGCAAATGAAAACTGAGGTTCCACTGTACTGGCTAATTTTTATAGTAAAAATATTGGACTCTGTATCGGCTAATTTTAATGGCATTGGCCTAAAGTGAGTATCAGTTTCATCAAAAAATTTGGTACTGTCCCATCCCCAATAAACCCTTCAACTGTCCAAACAGATCTACGTTCACATGCGTAGTGCTCCAAAAGTAGATCTACGTTTTTATACATATTTTCAAATATAACAAAAAAAAAAAAAGTAGATCAAAGTTTTTTTACACGTTTTCAAATGTAAAAAAAAAAAAAAAAAAAAAATCTCCATTTTTTTTACATACTTTCAAATGTTGAAAAAACGTAGAACTACGTTTGGACAGTTTAAAGGTTAAATATTCCTTTCAGTTAACAAGACAGTATCAATATTCAATAAGACTGCATCATAAATATTTTTACTCAGTTTTTATCAATACCTGTACACTGATAGTAAGTATATGTTCTTTATATACATGTATGGAGAGTTCATGTTTGATTAGTAGAGAGTGGTGAAGAACTGTAGATCAATTAATAACATTTTTGCTAAGGCTGAATTATAAATACTGTACAATATTTTTCTTGGTTAGTTCACTGATGTGTTTATTTTATGCATGTGTTGGAGAGATCATGTTTGTTTGGTAGATTTAACAATTATGTTTACTGGGGGGTGGCAGATGGTACTGTCTAATATTATGTGGTCAGTGGCTGAGGTGCAGAGGTTCAGATCACCTTTCTCCACTACTTTCCTCACAGTACTACATAACCCAGGCATGTGAAAGCCTTGCCACTACTTCCCACAGGCACTTAATATCCTCAACATAAGAGTGAGCACAAGCAGGAAAGCATAACTAAATGCTATGTCAGATATACTGAAAGACAGGGTGGGAATTACTGTTGTTACACAAATGATGGGGAACACAGGAGAGAGAACCTTAAGATGATGTTTTGGTCCAACTTAGACCATATACAAAGTCACACTGTGAGACTTTGTAAATGGTTCAAGTTGGACCAAAACATCATCTTAAGCATCCCTCTCGTACGTGCAGGTTATCTGTGCATTTCTCCAGTCATGGTATTGTGTCTTTTTGTTCTTTACTGCTGCTGCTGCCTTAATCCATCCCTCTTCCTCTCTACTAAAGGAGGGAAGGAATGCAAGATGAAGGGAGGTGAAGGAGCAGGGGAAAGAGAATAGGAGACATGTTTAAAGAGGGAAGAGAGGGGGAACACATCTGAGTACTGTACATTGCCTTTAAATTAAATTGGAAAAATAAACTTAGAATATTACGGATGAAAAACGTATCTCTAATTATAACATGGGTGTCTATTGGAAAATAGGTTCTGAGTTCCAAATACCTAGGAAATGAACAATTTCAAGTAGAGTATGCATTAATATTCTGTATTACAGAACAAAAGACTAATTCTGTAACGTGATGATATGGTAAGTATTTATACAGAAGGATTTCTCTTATATGAATATGCACAGAAAACAGTGACCTAAATTCATATTAACCATCAAAAATTTCTGTTCATCTTTACTTTGAAAATGTTTGATGTAACCAGATTCTTATATCTTCTTATAATCACACTATGGTACATACAACTTTTAAACCACAGAAAAGAAATGTTTGTATAGAATATACCATACTAAAAAAAAAAAAAAAAAAAATTCAAAGCATTCAGTAACAGCGTTTATTCAGCAAGAGATGTCAACTATGACCACAAGACACCATACATGTACTATATTTTACTGCACTTGCATTATAAAGAGCAAAGTCAAGACTTACCTCAACATCTGACCAAACACCTTCTTGGCGAACAAGGAAGCGCATACTCTTGTAGTCATACACAAAGTGATTGGGCTGAGTTGAGGGGTGGTTGGGGCCATGAGTTGGAGTATGAGGTCCATGAGATGCCATACATGGACCATAGGAATGTATGGGCAGGACCTCTCTCATGCGAAATAATGTGGTGTGAGCATAATGAAGCTCCATGCCGGTCTGCCAGCACACCCACTCTGCTTGCCCACCCAGGACTGATGACAGGCCACGGTCATTTAGAACCTATGTACAAAAATAATGGCATATTAATAAACTAAAAACAAAATTGTCCTAACTGTATGATAAATGGCTGTATAAAGAAATGAAAAAAATACTGTCAACAGTTTTGTTCTTTGCAGTTTTATTGAGTCAGTGATTTAATAAAGTTCTACAAAGAGCACAACACTGTCACAATTAAAGCTTGTTCTGTACCTATGTACTGTATAGCTCTTTACTTAACATGGTTTACTGGCTGACAATTTTGTGAAATACATACAATGCTATTTTGTGTCAGTTCCTACATACTGTGACTGCTGTTTTAGTAATCCCAGTCTGGCTGCTTATATTCAGATAATTTAGTTATGTTGACTTAGAATTCAATAATCAAACTTTAACTCGTCAATGTCAAGCATTTTTAAATTTAGCTTTACCTTACCCAAAATAATACGATTAACAACGGGTTTCTCTATCTATGAAACAATCTAAATCAACCCAATCTATCATAAATGTATCGCTTGGAAAACAAACATGAAATGTACTGTATACACATCGTTTCTTCCTTCTGTTTACATAAAGTTCATGTCTATTTTTCAAAAGAAAATAATATAAGAATGTGTTCTATTTATAGTGCAAAAATTTAGTTTGTTTCCATTTTTAAGGCCAATGATTTATATACAAGATAAAAGTGTTTTAAATTGTATGTAATACTGTATACTATTTAAAATAAATTAATTTTGAGTGGTATATACAGATATATACATGTATATATATTTTTTTTTTTTTCAACAAGTCGGCCGTCTCCCACCGAGGCAGGGTGACCCAAAAAAGAAAGAAAATCCCCAAAAAGAAAATACTTTCATTATCATTCAACACTTTCACCACACTCACACATTATCACTGCTTTTGCAGAGGTGCTCAGAATACAACAGCTTAGAAGCATATACGTATAAAGATACACAACATATCCCTCCAAACTGCCAATATCCCAAACCCCTCCTTTAACCCTTTGACTGTTTTCGACGTATAAATACGTCTTACGAGCCAATGTTTCTGACGTATATATACTCAATAATTCTAGCGGCTTCAAATCAAGTGGGAGAAAGCTGGTAGGCCCACATGTGAGAGAATGGGTCTGTGTGGTCAGTGTGCACCACATAAAAAAAATCCTGCAGCACACATTGCATAATGAAAAAAAAAAACTCGAACGTTTTTTTGGAAAAAACGCCGATTTTGAGTGTATTTTCGTTTTAGTATTTATCGTTGTATTCGCGTTTTCATGGTCTTAGTTGAAAAATGGAAAACTTTTATTACAGAAATAGAGATGATTTTCATTATATTTACGATGAAAACGACCTTGAAACTGAGCTCAAAGTAGCGGAAATTTTTCGATTTTTACCAATGTTCAAGAGTAAATAAATCACAACACAACGTCCAATAAAACACAACTGGGGAGTCAATATTCTTTCACTAGTGCACTGATATTATTTATACCATTTTTAACAATAATGCAGTCGTCTGCATAACAGTAAATTTTGTGTTTTTTGTATGAATAAAAAATCAAAATAGAAAGCAATAATAATATAAAAGGGGCCTAAGATGTTACTAATGAACAGAGCATATTGTTATTTTAGTGCCACGAATGTCACCTTGTTTATTCTGGACCCTATTTTGAAATTGGCATCTTTTTATTTTGCGTGAAATTGGCCAAATTGCCAATTTCTGACCACCATTTTGGGGTAGTCCAAATTAGTAAAGGGGAGGTTTTCTTGGCTCAGCTGATAGATAAAATGGAGTTCTAAAGAAATAGCTATGAGTTTGGTCAACTGGAAAAATGGAATTGGCTGAAAATTGGGCTCAAAGTCGCGAAAATCGCCGATACGCATATTCGCCGAGACCGCTAACTTCGCGGAGCATAATTCCACGAGTTTTCGACCAATTTCGAATTTTTTGGTGTCATTACCATCGGGAAAAGATTCTCTATCATTTCATAAGAAAAAATAATTTTTTTTTTTTTTAAAAAATTGAGCGACATAGAATGACAGTTTCAGAGGGGGGCCTGAAACAGTCAAAGGGTTAAAGTGCAGGCATTGTACTTCCAATTTCCGGGACTCAAGTCCGACTATATGAAAAAAAAACCCGGGTTTCCCTGAATCCCTTCACTAAATATTACCACCTCTCACCCCCAACAGATCGTCAGGTCCCAAGTATCATTCGCCTCCATTCACTCCTATCTAACACACACTCATGAACGCTTGCTGGAAGTCCAAGCCCCTAGCCCACAAAACCTCCTTTAACCCCCCTCTTTCCAACCCTTTCGAGACGACCCCTCCCCCTCCTTCCTTCCCTATAGATTATATGCTTTCCATGTCATTCTACTTGATCCATTCTCTCAAAATGACCAAACCACCTCAACAACCCCTCTTTTTGCCCTCTGACTAATGCTTTTATTAACTCCACACCTTCTCCTAATTCCACACTCTGAATTTCTGCATAATATTTACACCACCCCATTGCCCTTAGACAGGACATCTCCACTGTCTCCAACCGTCTCCTCGCTGCTGCATTTACCACCCAAGCTTCACATCCATATAAGAGTGTTGGTCCCTACTATACTTTCATACATTCCCTTCTTTGCCTCCATAGATAACATTTTTTTGCCCTCCACATATACCTCAACGCACCACTCCACCTTTTTTCCCTCATCAATTCTAGATTAACCTCATCCTTCATAAATCCATCCGCCGACACGTCAACTTCCCAAGTATCTGAAAACATTCACTTTTTCCCATACTCCTCCTCCCCAATTTGATATCCAATTTTTCTTTATCTAAATCATTTGATACCCTCATCACCTTCCCTTTTTCTATGTTCACTTTCAACTTTCCTACCTTTACACACATTCTCAAACTCATCCACTAACCTTTGGGCAATTTTTCTTTAGAATCTCCCATAAGCACAGTATCATCAGCAAAAAGTAACTGTGTCAATTCCCATTTTGAATTTGATTCCCCATAATTTAATCCCAACCCCTCTCCCAAAAAACCCTAGCATTTACTTTCTTTTTACAACCCCATCTAAAAATATTAAAAACAACATGGTGACATTACACATCCCTGTCTAAGACCTACTTTTACCGGGGAAGTTTTTCTCCCTCTCTTCTAACACACCCTAACCTGAGCCTCACTATCCTCATAAAAGCTCTTTACAGCTTTTAATAACTTACCCCCCATTCCATATACTTGCAACATCTGCCACATTGCTCCTCTATCCACTCTATCATATGCCTTTTCTAAATCCATAAATGCAATAAAAACTTCCCTACCTTTATCTAAATACTGTTCACATATATGCTTCAATGTAAACACTTGATCTACACATCCCCTACCCACTCTGAAGCCTCCCTGCTCATCGCAATCCTACATTCTGTCTTACCTCTAATTCTTTCAATTTTAACCCTACCGTATACTTTTCCCCGGTATACTCAGTAAACTTATTCCTCTATAATTTTTTTCAATCTCTTTTGTCCCCTTTTCCCCTTTATATAAAGGGACTATACATGCTCTCTCCCGCCAATCCCTAGGTACCTTCCCCTCTTTCATACATTTATTAAACAAAAGTACCAACCACTCCAACACTATCCTCCCCCCTGCTTTTAACATTTCTGTCATGATCCCATCAGTTCCAGCTGCTTTAACCCCCCCTTTCATTCTACTAATGCCTCACGTACCTCCACCACACCCTTTCATTCTGCTCTTCTTCACTCCTAAAAAATGGTATACCTCCCTGGGGCCCTGCAAAGAAATTACCGCCTTTCCCCTTTCTTTCCCCAAAATTTAAAAAATTCCCAAAATATTCTCGCCATCTACCTAATACCCTCCCTCTCCCCATCTACTAACTCCCCTACTCTGTTTTTTAACTGACAAAATCCATACTTTCCCTAGGCTTTCTTAACTTGCTTAACTCACTCCAAAATTTTTTCTTTTTTTCATTAAAATTTCTTGACAGTGCCTCTCCCACTCTTTCATCTGCTCTCCTTTTGCACTCTCTCACCACTCTCTTTACCTTTCTTTTACTCTCCATAACTCTGCTCTTCTTATAACACTTCTGCTTTGTAAAAACCTCTTGTAAGCTACCTTTTTCTCTTTTATCACACCCTTTACTTCATCATTCCACCAATCACTCCTCTTTCCCCCCTGCCCCCACCCTCCTAAAAACCACAAACTTCTGCCCCACATTCTAATACAGCATTTTTAAAACTATTCCAACCCTCTTCAACCCCCCCACTACTCATCTTTGCACTAGCCCACCTTCCTGCCAATAGTCGCTTAATCTCGCCCGAACTTCCTCCTCCCTTAGTTTATACAATTTCACCTCCCTTACTTGTTGTTGCCACCTTCCTCTTTTCCCATCTACCTCTTACTCTAACTGTAGCTACAACTAAATAATGATCCGATATATCAGTTGCCCCTCTATAAACAGTACATCCTGGGGCCTACCCATCAACCTTTTATCCACCAATACATAATCTAACAAACTACTTTCATTACGTCTACATCATACCTTGTATATTTATTTATCCTCTTTTTCATAAAATAAGTATTACTCATTACCAAATTTCTTTCTACACATAGCTCAATTAAAGGCTCCCCATTTACATTTACCCCTGCAACCCCCCAAATTTTTCCTACTACTCCCTCTATAACATTTTTACCCACTTTAGCATTGAAATACCCAACCACCATTACTCTCCACACTTGATTCAAAACTCCCCACGCATTCACTCAACATTTCCCAGAATCTCTCTCTCTCCCCCTACACTTCTCTCTTCTCCAGGTGCATACACGCTTACTATAACCCACTTTTCACATCCAATCTTTATTTTACCCCCACATAATCCTTGAATTTATACATTTGTAGTCCCCCTTTTCCTGCCAAAAGCTTATCCTTCAACATTATTGCTACTCCTTCTTTTTGCTCTAACTCTATTTGAAACCCCTGACCTAATCCCATTTATTTCCCCTCCA